CGCAGAGCTGAGGGGCGGGGACTGAGGGGCGGGCCTTCCGGCGGGGGCGGGGGTACCCGAGGAGGCCCTTGCAGAAATGGAAACGAAAGCCGAGCCGGGCGGAGCCATCCGCCGGCGTACCACTGAGAGGCCCGGGGGCCCCTCTTCCTAGAGCGGCCCCGGAAGGGGCGGGCCTCCCGGCGGGTACCGCGGCCCGGCTGCTCGGCTGGGGGGCTGCGGAGCCCTGGCGCGGGGGGAGGGTCCGTCTGTTCCGGGTCCCCGACCTCCAGCCAGGGACTCGCCGGTGCCCTCCGGCGTCGCTTGGGCCCGCCCCCCAGCCCAGGGCAGCGGCCTCCCCTCCTTCGCCTCCCGGGCGCTGCGGGCAGGAGGGCGAGGAGCAGCTCGGAGCGGATCGAGGTGAAGGCGGCGCCCCGGGGCCCTGCACGCTTGGCCGACGAGGCCCTGTCGTTGGCGGGGGTGCATCGTGCTGCCCGTTGGGGCCCCATTCCTCGGCCTCGACACAGCTCGTGTTTGCTGGCAGGCGGGGGGCCCGGCGGACTGTTGGGGTGCATGTGTGCCTTTGGATCCAACCCGCTAGTAATGCAGGCTCCCCCTGAGACCCAGGCTTCTGAAGGCGGGGGGACGGGCCAGCCTGAGTGGGGTTTCCAGGGACCCTGGCTGCGGGGCCACGCAGAGCTTGGAGTTCAGGAGGCCTGGCCCAGAGAGGAAAGGAGCTACTCCGAAGTTGCCGCGGGCACAGCACCCCAGCCCTTGGGGCAGGTGGCTTGAGCGCCTGTGTGCTGCGGCAGGCACTCGCGTCTACGGGCCTGTGGAGTGGGGGACCTCGGGTCCACTCCGTTTTTGACTGTTTTGTAACTTGGTGCTCTCTCTGCCGTCAAGCACCTGCCAGCTTGAATTGGGCAGAGGAGACGAAGATCCGGAATGGTTCCTGAGCACCAGTTCGTGCTGGCTCTGGCCTTGTAGCTAGGGATGCAGGGATGAAAGAGCCGTGGTCCTTGCCCTCAGTGCCGGTCCCGGCAGGAAGCTGGAGCGCAGAGGAAGCCCACGCACGCCCTCCAGTCGGGGGGAGGGGTACAGAGTGGGGGGGCGCCTTCATACAAGTTCTTGGTTTTCCTCAGTTTACTACCGAAACTAGACACCAGCGTCTGACTCCAGTGTACTTGCCTGGTGCGGTGATCCTCTGCCCTCCCCAGCAGAGCCCCCCCCCATTTCTGCATGCTCCTCGGCCCAGATGAGCTTCCTTTACCCTCAGTTCAGGCTCCCACCTGATGCTGAGAGCAGCCTCCTCCCAGAACCTGCCTCAAGTAGAGCCTTCCGGGCGACATAGGCCTGAATCCAGACCAAGTGTACCTAACCATTTTTATTTAGAAGAAGCCAGACTCAAATTCCTTGTCAGGATGGGAAATCTCGACAGTCATTTTATTATTGCCTCTGCATGGGGGAGAAGAGGAAAGCTGAAGTGTACCCTTTTGACTTTAAGAGAGTTCTAAGTATTTATACCTTAAAACCACTTGGGGGTGCCTGGCTGGCTCAGTCCGTGGAGCCTGCGACTTGATCTTGGGGTCTTGAGTTCAAGCCCCAAGTTGGGCATAGAGCTTACTTAAAACAAAGAAAGCTACAGTGTTGTCATGTACAAAAGTCAAAGACACACAGATTAAAATGTTGATGGTAAATAAATGGGATGGAAAAGAAAATTCAAAGAAAAATACATCACTGGGAATATTACCACCTAGGGCATCACATTTTGGGGTGGGACAGCCTGTCAGGGTTATGGGCCTCCTAGTAGATCAGGGTAGCCGTCACAGGCCACGAGATACCTTTGCTAAGAACGCTGTTTGCAGGGAATGTTGGAGGATCAGAACAGGACCTGCCTTTGGAGTTTTCTCTTTAAAAAAAGAAGGCTTCTCAGTGTTGTGGAGATCTCCCTCACTAGCAGTTAGAGTCTGAAGTTGCTCCAGGCTTGATGCTGGAATTCCATTAGTTAGCAGTGAGAGAAGACGAGGGCAAGGAAGCTCAGGAATAATACAGAAACGAAATAGAAGAGGGATCTCAACAAAGAACTAGGAGCTGTGTGGGTGATGCTCCTACAGACACCGGGGACTGTTGGGTCCTGTTTGAATTTGTGGCTGAATTGGGTGCTGTTAGGTGGAGTTAGGGACAGGGAACATCAGGTGTTTCAGAGGGTGTACAGAAGATCTAGTTGATGGAGGAGTTGGCTTTGGTTAAGGGCCCCAGGGAAGACTAGAGCTTGGTTAGGGAACAGGGAGTGGGGACAGTGTTTGGTGAGTCAGGGAGGCCTCCCTGAGAAGGGCCCATTCAGAGCTCTGAAGTGAGCAGCCAGCCCCATGAACACCTGCTCTTGGCCAATTTCTGGAATCAGCCAAGCACTGAGGCAGGAAGGACTGGGTATGTTTGAGGAGCCTAAAGGAAGCTGGAGGGGAGTGAGGAGTGGGCCAGGTCAGGCATGTATAGGGCTCATAAGTATGAGGGGAGCCACTGGGGGTCGGGGCAGGTACATGATAGGGGTTTGCTGGCTGCCATATGGAGGTGGACCATTGGAGGAGGGCTGGGGCGCCCCAAGTTTGATCCATCTCAGATCCAGGCTCTAGGTGACAGGAGCATAACTCCCAAAGGGGCACATGTGGGTCCTGCTGCTCCAAAAGCACATCCTCTGCTCCCAAATACAGGAAGTGGAGAAGGAGGGAGAAAATGGTGGAGGGAAAACCCCAATGTGGGGACCACATGGAGTTTTTGGTCCATGGTCTGTATCAGACCCCACTGGACACAGGCCTGGAGACCCCATCCCCGGGCAGAGGATTAGAGCGAGTGTTCTGTTTGGTCATGTCCAAACAGAACAGGCTGTTTGTTGAGCCTCATTGAGAGGCTCATGAGGTGCCCAAGGGGAGCACACGAGCAGGGAAGGGGCCACGTTCCCTGTCCCCTCCGCCATCCGTCCCTTAGCCGCTGCACCACAGCTCTGTTCCTCCCGCATACCTGTGTGATCTAACCTTCATGGTCTGGCTTCTCCGGCAGCACGAGGATTGGTGGTGTCCTCTCTGGTGCAGACTTCCTGCTCCGGAGGTCTCGTTACAAGCTCAGAAAAATGAAGAGCTGTGACTAAAGGGAGAGCTTTCGGAAGAATAGGAGAGTCTGGCCCCTGGCCTTTCTCCTTAGCCCTTCCTGGATTCCAGTGGCCCTTCCTCTCTCCTTGGGAACAAAGAAAGATGGAAAAGCCCACGGGCAAAAAGAAGGCACAGACCCCAAAGGAAGAAGGAGATTTGCTAAAGGACACTCCCAAAGGAGAGAAAGCATCTGGTGAGAAAAAGGCAAACAAGAGGTCCACTTTGGCGAAAAAGTACAGCAAGGAAGCCAGCCTGAGTCCTGAAGAAGAACACGTATTTGATGCCTTTGATGCTTCATTTAAAGATGACTTTGAGGGGGTTCCCGTGTTCATTCCTTTTCAGAGAAAGAAGCCCTATGAGTGCAGCGAGTGTGGACGCGTCTTCAAGCACAAGACAGACCACCTTCGCCACCAGAGGGTTCACACGGGAGAGAAACCCTTCAAGTGTGAGGAGTGTGGGAAGATGTTCAGGCACAGCTCCGATGTCACCAAACACCAGAGAATCCACACTGGAGAGAAGCCCTTTAAATGCAGCGAGTGCGGGAAGGCCTTTAACTGCGGCTCCAATCTCCTAAAACATCAGAAGACGCACACTGGAGAGAAGCCGTATGAGTGCAAGGAATGTGGGAAAACCTTTGCCTACAGCTCATGTCTCATTCGCCATCGGAAGCGCCACCCACGGAAGAAGCACTGAGCGCGGGGAAGCTATCTGCCAAGACGCGGTGTTTGTGCTGATGGGAGCTGTCCCTCCTTCAGCATCTGATCGATGCTGGGGGTCCGTGAGCTCAGCGCACCTGTGCCCAGGCATCCCCCTCATCATCAGGAAAATCAACCCAGTGGGGTAAGCAAGTGCTTGAGCATGGTAAAGACCTTTCTGGTCCAGAGCATCTCTGGATCAAGACACCATGATAATGTGGGAGGGGCTTGCAGCACGGGAGACTCTGGGGATATCGACAGCTGTCTGTGGGGCTCGCGAGGCAGCGGCTGCTTGTGAGCGGCCCAGCGCCTCCCTCTGCGGCCTCCGCCCGTGGTGTCCACTGTGGTTTCAGCCCTCTCACCTGCTCCTTTGAAGACTTGAGTCTGCAGACTCTTGACCTGCCGGGTCATCCCTGCACAGCCTGGCAGGAGGCCCACGGCCCTGAGCTAGTAGCAGTACTCTGCGGTCGCGCCCTCAGCACTGCACCAGACACCTGCTGTCCCCACTCGGCTGGCCATGGTGACAGTGGTTTGTGCTCTGGCTTCCCTCCTCGGGCTGCGGTGCCACCACCATCCCCCACCCCATCCCCAGGAACTGCACCCTTTGTGCATCCCCCTGGCCTAGCCCCCATCCCAGGTGAGCGGCCTGACTCACCCAGGTGGATCGCTCGGGACCTACATACTGCCACCGTGGGAGATTCCCGCCCTGGACACGTGGTGGAGGCCCCAAGGATGTGAGCACAGCTTCGAGCCAGGCTGCATCTGCCATGGGGGCCTTCAGACATGAGGCAGTGCGCCCTGCCCCCTGGGGATCGGCTCTCCAGGTTAGTTTCACTTCCTCATGCCTGGCCCCCAAGTTCCATCTTATCCCCCCGGGCAAGGCCACATGCTATGCCCAGCCCTGGTTTCCCCCGGGAGTGGTCTGGATGGGGCCCCATGCTCTCAGAGTGGTGTGGTGTGTCCCAGAACTTCCCACAGTGTGAGGGGGGCCCGGTGACCGTCAACCAGGAGGTAATGGGGCTTTGAACTAGGAAAATGTTGATGCCTACACTTTCAGCTGTTTGGACCCCCAAGATAGCCTTACTCTTTGGGGATTCCGTCCTGCAAGAAGGTCCTGAATCGGGGGGAGACCCGTTTCTCCATCGGGGGTCACAGACGCCAGAGGGCAGATGCTCCCGGTGGAAATGCTTCTCCAGGTTGGCAAGTGTTCGCTCCTGTTCTTTCTAAAAGCTGTGATGTTATGACACCTGAGCTGGACACCCTGCCCCCCCTCCCCAGCGCAGCGGGCCCTCCTACCTGACGCAGCTCGCCCTAGGTGTGGCAGGAGGTCCAGGGGGACGCACAGTGGATGGTAAAGGACGTTACTGGGACATTCGGCAAACCTCGTGTCCACACTGTCCACTGGGTGGCAGAGCCGCATCAGTTTCCAAGCTCCTGCTTGGCTTGCGGCCCCCGGCCATCCCAGACCTCATCCTTGTCAAAGATGCTCCCTAAGGTTTTCAGGGACACAGGATCATGATGTCTGCACTTTACCGTCAAATGTTCAGCAGAGAAACAGAGTAACAAGACGTGTATCCGCACTGAGTGATGAAGCAAATTGAACCCGGAGTCAGGCTGGCAGACGTTTTCTGTAAAGGGCCAGATAGTAGCTGTTCTTGGCCCTGTGGCCCTAAGGCCTCTGTCCCCGCTCAGCTCCGCTGTGACATGCGACAGCAGTGAACACAGTGAATGAGCGCGGCCGTGTGCCAGCAGAGCTGTGTTGGGCGGCCATGTTGGGCCTGTCGTAGGTGGAGGGCGCGTGAGAGTCAGCCTGACCCGTGTGCGCTCGGGTCCTCCAGGACTGGCTGCGGGGGGGGAAGCCAGTGCAGGAAGCCGCGGGACACCCTGGGAGGGCTGCGGAGGGGCTCCGAGCAGCGAGCCCTGGTGCCCACCTTGGGTGCCGGAGCGCAGGCTGTGGACCCGGCACGCACGTCCAGGGGTGTCTGCGTCCTCTTCGGCGTGGTTTCGTTTGTCTTTACTGCGGCCTTCTGACACACCAGGACGCGTGTGTTCCCGTGCAGCGTCCGCCGTGAGATCTGTATCACGTGTTACAGCCCATTTCCCCGTTCCCACGGCGGCAGGCATGGTCTCCACCGCCGCCTACAGGTGCGGTGAGCAGAGGCTCACCGTGTCCTAACGGGCGTGTGGGCTGTTTCTGGTTTCGGGCGTTATAAATAATGCTGAGATAAATACCTTTTCTGCATCTCGGGCCGACAGGATGGGTCCCCAGACACGGAATGCCAGGGGGAGATCCTCGGGGCTGTGCGGGCTGGGCGCCCCAGCGGCACACGGACAGCAGGCTTGCCCTGGCCTCTCCGGCAGCAGGCAGGTGGGTCTTCATCATTGCCGGTTTGTTTGAAGAGAGGGAAACGCACTCTGACCCCATGGCTTTGGTTTCTAGAGAGGAAATGGGTGGTGAAGAACACAGGCTCTCGGGCCGGGGCTTAGCGACTTGAGCCGGTGCCTTGGCGATGTGGGACTTGGGGCATGTCCCTTAACCTCCTCGTGCTGCCTCAGTTTCCTCAGGCGTGACATGGGGATGCTTAACCTGACTCAGTGAGTCAGCACGTGAAGTCCTAGGTGCAGGGCTGGCTCCTCCCAAGTGTCTTAAGAATGTCAGCTCTGGGGGCACCTGGCTGACTCGGTGGGTGGAGCTTGGAACGCTTGATCTCCGGGCCGTGAGTTCGAGCCCCACGTTGGATGTGGAGCTTCTTGCCATGTGTTTGTGTTCTTAGCAAGGCAGACATTTGCTTGTAGGCATGGGAGGTGGCCGTGCACGCCGACAGCCCTCAGCGCCTCTCTCAGGAAGGCTGCATCAGCCCGGAAAAGAGCCACAGAAAACTACTTTTTTAAAAAGTAAGACTTGGGGGCGCCTGGGTGGCTCAGTTGGTT